TTGAATCAAGGAAGATTTTGTTACCACCCTTACACATCAAGCTGGGTCTGATGAAGAACTTTGTCTAGGCCATTGACAAAACACAAGCAGCTTTCAAGTACCTCCGTGGAAAATTTCCAAGGTTAAGTGAAGCTAAGATAAAGGAAGGTGTCTTTGTTGGTCCTCAGATTCGTGAACTTCTTTGAGATGATGCATTTGACCATGCACTGCGTGGCAAGGAAAAGACGGCATGGAAAACCTTCCAGTTAGTGGCAATAAATTTTCTCGGAAACAACAAGGTAGACAACTACAGCTTGTTGGTGGAAAACCTCCTCAAGGCATACAAAAGCCTTGGTTGCAACATGTCACTAAAGATACATTTTTTGCACTCTCGTCTAGATTTTTTTCCACCGAACTGCAGAGCAGTGAGCGACGAGCACGGCGAGCGATTTCACCAGGACATTGCAACAATGGAGAAACGCTATCAGGGCAAATGGAGCCCATCAATGCTTGCAGACTATTGCTGGACAGTGACAAGACATGCTCCATTTAATGAATACAAGAGACAAGCCAAGAAGCGCCGAGTAGACACTGAATAGGACTAAGCTATGTACAGAATAGTTTTTTGCCTTTTGTTTCATAATAAATTTTATTTATATAACCCTTTTGCTGATTTTTAAAGTGTTACATAAACAGGACAGGTGAAATATTATCACGTAAAGCAACCATAAACACATGAAAAGACCTAGGTTTACAATTTATGATTAAAACTCTACTATCTACATAATATACATAGACATAAAATGTAAAAACTTAAATATCTTAGAAACAGTAGCCAATCAGTTGTTTTAATTGTCATATTTGAATTCAGCACATCAAAATACATAATAAATAGCACATTTTATCTCTGAAGCAGACGACTTCTCAAAAATTGTAGACCAGTGTTATCTTAAAGACAATGAGAAAGAGTAAAAAAAGTTTCCTCTACTGAGGCACAGTATGTGTTAAAAATCTACTTATTTCATATTTAACTTGATATCGATAATGGAGTTTACCTATATCCCCCTGATTTCACCCTAATGCAATTACCAGTACAAGGATGGGCAGGAGTGAGACGTCAGATTAGAAACAAACTCACATGGCAGACCTACAGAATTTTACTGTATTTCTCTTTTAATAGGAAAGTAGTGCATGTAAAAGGTGCCAGCCTGATGAATGGAGTCTGAAGACTCTTCATCTATCCAGAGAATAGATATACCAGAACATCACACAATCATTTCACTGATCAATAGTGATACAGGCCTTATCCCAGACTAGTGAATGTGTTGCATTCTATTAGTAGTCTAATAAGGTACTTTGTCCCAACTTCTCTCTTAAAACAAAATTAACAAGTATAACAATGTTTAGGTTTTGCTACTACTCTCCAGAATGTTGGTCACTGTATAAAAATAGAGCTCTATTGTGATAGGCATTGTACAAACGAGGTAGTAGACAGTCCCTGCTTTGAAGAGCTTAGAATCCAAACAGAGGAGACAGGAACAGGGTAGAGAAAGATGTACTAGGCAGAAAAGTACTGTACTGTCAACAACTATGACAATATCTTATGCACAAAACTACTTTTCTGGAAAGATAAGTCTGTTTTATTCCCACTTTCTCAATACACCCATGCTTTCATTTGGCAATAAAATGCTATGGTGAATTCACAGAAAAATCCCATTTCCTATTGCATACAAATTCCTCCACTTCCTAACAACAATATTCTAGGTATTGACAATGTGCAGGTTCTTGTTACACAGATCTTTTGACAGAACTAACATTCCCCTTTGATCCTCTCATGGCTCAACTACCAAAGGATCAACAGACAGCTTTAGAAGATCTATGTTATTAGTTAGATCTCATGTGGCCTGTCACTGACTCTTCCTCTTCTTGGCATGCAAGCAATCTGGACTGAGTCTTTTGCTACTGAGACTATGGTTCAGACTATTAAACAAAAACATGTGCACAAAGAGAAAAAGATAGCAAGGACAACCCATATACCTGTGTACCTCAGTTTTGGAGCAAGTACATAGATTAATTCAATTTTCAGGATTTATTTCTTATGTTAACAAAAAGGTTTCCCTTCTTAAAGTAACAGAGACTTTTCCCTCCTCTCTCCCCACTCTTCAGGGTATTTTTGTTTGTTTGTTGTTTTTGTTTGTTTGGTTTTTTAAGTGCATAGCACTAAACTTACCATGTCACTTTGAGGCTGTGAGATGACAATAGGCTGGCCGGCATCACATGTCTCTCTTATATTAACATGCAGTGGAATGTCTCCTGCATTAAAAACACCAAAATGCATTTACATAAAGACTTAATATTTCATAAGTGCATTTCATTAAACTAGCCCTGAAGCTACTTGAAATCAAATTCCAGTTCAGGCTATCCTTTGAATTACTTAATCTCTAAAATTAGCATTTAAAATTAAAATTAGCTGCAGCAGAGTTCCACATGTCCACAATCATTAGTACCAAATATATTTCAAATTTATTCATTTTCTGGAAAAAGAGCAGATTGCTTTGCAGTAATTTGTAATGACAGGAAGTTTGCTTTATTGCTTTCTGGAGAAGCAGAAAAGCTCAAACTGAGACATTTCTATGGTCTAGACATTTTGGATAGGTACAAAATAAAAACACTTCTTTGAGTGTCAGGATAACATATTATTCAACGTATTTCTTACTTTTGTATTTTCAACAGTGTTTTGAGATATTAATCAATATCCAAACTATAGCACATTTTGTTGCCAAACAACAAAATGTACTATAGTCCTTAGTAGGCCATTGATTTAATTAAGTGCTAGCTGTATATTCAACTCGTTCTCTTTTACAAGGGCTAACTACTGTGTGATTTGCTTGTGTAATCAGCAGGGAACTGTTATAGAAGAAAAATGTACTGAAGGAAAAATCATTTATCGACCCATTGGATATTTTCACTTAATTCTGAAATATTTTTCCAGCACTAAATATAGTAAATTTTTAAAGTTCCCATAATTACTATATCACAACACAGATACTGCCTATGAGATAAAATGCACAGTTAAAAACTGATCTTCTGCCAGTATTACGTTTACAGCATGCTGGACGCCTGACTACTCTTCACGCAGGCCTTGTCTATACTCAGAAGTTTCACTGATTTAACTAAAAGTGTGCTTTTGAATCAGTTTAATTAAACCGGTGCAAAATCCTGTGTAGGTACTCTTAGTTTGGCTAGTAAGTGTGTTATTTTGCTTTAACTTAATTTATTTTTAACACCAGATTAAGGTAAATGAAAAAATAGCTAAACTGAAATAAGTGTTCGTATATAAACTTGCAGTGGTTTAACTAAAGCAGTTTCAAAACAAAACTCTAGTTAAACAGATGCAAGCATGGGTATTGTCCAGGGCCGGCTCTACCATTTTTGCCGCCCCAAGCAAAAAAGCCGCCCAGACTGCCAAAGCAAAAAAAAAAAAAAGGCCGCCCAGACTGTGCCGCCCCTTAGCATGTGCCGCCCCAGGCACGTGCTTCCTTCGCTGGTGCCTGGAGCCAGCCCTGGTATTGTCAAACCCTTAGACTTAAGTAACATACAAGCGTTGGTCCAAGAAGTATCTGTAGTTGAGCCCCTAGGTAATGGTGACCAAAATAAATTTTAAGTTCAATATTATTAGAGGAGGAAAGGTATCGAAATCTTGCACTGAACTTTAAAAGAGGATTTAAAAAAAAAGTGAAGGATGCTAGTAAAAAAGACCCTACAAGAAAAAAATAAAAATAAAAATAAAAGTATGGAGTTGCAGGTATTGACTCCTTAATTAAGGTTGAATTGAATTCTGCACTTAAAGAAGACATGCAACTTCTGTTATATATGAAGACTACCATCTATCCTCCCCAAAATTGCTCAATACTTACGCTTTTGGCACAGAATGAATTTTCTGAGAATTTAAGTAAATCCATAAATTTTTTTTTTAGTTAAATATAGTTAAAAATTGGTCCTTTAAGAAATTTACCATTGCAGGTCAGATCTTTTCTTTGTCCCGAATGTTCTTAGTAATGGAATAATACGGACTCATCAAAGTCCCACATAGTTAAAATTACTGTTATCTTGTGCATAGGCCACATTTTGAAGACTATTATTTTTAAGATTCAGAGTAATTTTTTGCATTCAGTCTTCACAACTAAAATTTACTGCTTCAGCAGCAATAGAATTACACAAAGAACTTCCCTTTTTCAAAATGGCTGCCATCTCCTACTGTTCTCAAAAGGATTGAGGGCCACATTTCCGAAGGTATTTAGGTGCTTAAAGATGCATATAGGTGCCCAGGGTGATTTACAAAAGCACCTAATGGAGTTAAAGACAGTAGCTAAAGGTATAAAAAAAAACAAATAATTCTGTAAGTATATTAGAAGCAGAAAACCTGCAAGAGAATCAGTGGGTCTGCTGGACCACTATGGTAAAGCAAGCAATTAAGGAAGATAAGGATATTGCTGAGAAACTAAATGATTTCTTTGCACGATTCTTCACCACAGAGCACACCTGCCTGGGACCTACTCTTTTCTGGTAATAACAATGACGCGCTATCAGAGAGTGAGGTAACAAAAAAGAAGGGCTGGAACAAAATGATAAATTAAAAAGCAACAAATCCATTGAGTCCAGATGGTATATGCCCAAGAGTTCACAATATATCTAAGAATGAAGTTGCTGAGCTGCCAGCAAAAACATGCAAACTCTTATTTTTTTTAAAAAGTTACTATACCAGGGGATTGAAGGGTAGCAATTGTTGTGTGTTTTAAAAAGATGATAGACGTGATCTGAGATATTACAGACAAGTAAGCCTTACTTATATATCTGATAAATGTATTGAAAACAATTAAAAATAGAATTATAAGAGATCTAGGAGATCACAAATTTATTAGGGTCTAACCAGCATAGCTTCTGCATAGGAAAATGTCTCTACAAATCTGTTAGAATTAACTGAACGTGTTAATACAGAAATCAATAAAGGGGAACTGGTTGATGTACTTTATTTGAACTTTTGAAGGCCCTTAACAAAGCTTCTTACAAGAAGCTACTAGAGAAACTAAGTACTCATGTAGTGTTGGTCAAAGTAATGGATCAGAAACTGGCTGAGACACAGAAAAGAAATGGCCAATCTTCCTCATGATAAAATTTAAATAGTAGAGTGTCACAATGTGCTATACTAGGACCAGTGTTGTTTAACATATTCATCAATGATATGATAAAGGGGGTGAGCAGTGAGGTTGCAAAATTTGCAGATGACACAAAATTATTTGGTTAGTCAAAACTGGAGAAGACTCAGGAACATCAGAGTCTTCCAAGCTAGGTGTCAGGTGCTACCTCTCAGTAGTCAGGCTTAGTGGCTGGACCAGAGGTCAAAGCCAGACTTCGAGTCGGGACTGGGCCAAGTGTGGCATTGGAATCGAGATCTGGGGACAGGCCAGAGTCAGAACCAAGATCAGGGTCCATAGTGAAGCCAGAATTTGTACCATAGCTGGAGTCCAGATGGAAGCCAGGGGTTGAAGCAAGGCGGTCAGAGTCCAGGGACAAGCCAAGTCACAATCATAGCCAGAGTCCAGATACAGACCAAAGATCAAAGCCAGGCAGTCAGAGTCCGGGGGTCCAGGGAAGGTCAGGAGGCAGAGGTAAGCCTGGAGCGGGTCAGTAACAGGGCTGGAGCAAGAGCAGGGTAGGGCAAGGACAAGATTGGAACAGGGCTTGGGCAAGGCTGGAGCAGAAACAGGAACAGGGTCAAGAGCAGGCTGGGAGTCTCAAGAGTCTGTGACTGTGAGGCAGCACAAGGGTTTCTGGCTGGGTAGTTGCACAGACTGATCTGCAGCTCTGGTGCGGTTGAGGAAATACTTGAACCTGGGGGATAGGCTGCAGCTGCATGCCTGAAGGCTGAGTCACTGCAGGCTCTGTGCAAAGGGTAAGTCAGTGCACCTACTGAAGCACTGGGGATGGGCGGGCAGAAGCCTGCCCACATCTAAAGGCCCCTGCTCACAGTCTAAGGGGAGGAGCCACCAGACCCAGATATCAAATGATTATAGGAGACAACCAATGAAAAGAAAGGGATGGAAATGGGGGGTCACAGGTTCAAAATCAGGAATCCAGATGGGGACACCAAGCAGAAGACCCCAGACAGCGCCCACTGCTCCTCAAAGGCATCCAGGGAGCATGGCCCAGAGGAACTCTGCCCAGAGACGTGGCTTGAGGGAGGATCAGAAGTAGGTCCCATAGTCGCAGGTCCCCTCATCCAGCTTCCTCCTCGTGGGTCCTGAGGAGGTCCTGGTAAAAGACAGGCAGCTCAGATTGGTTTTGGGGGACACCCTAGTGTGGAGGTACTAGAGCTACTGGTCGTATCGGAGCCCTCAGAGGGGGTGGATGAACTGACTCTTGCAGGTTTTCTTCCTTTGAAGTATCTGATACTGGCCACTCTTGTAGACAGGACAGATACTGGTCTGATCCAAAATGGTAATTCCTATGCTTCTATGTACAATATAAACTAACTTTAACCCTTACAGCACTACATTCATGCTCTTTAATGAGTAGCTGGAGAACAGTATGTTTGTATCCACTCCTCTTCAAACCTCTTCCTCCCTCCTGCCGAATCAGCAAATCCCTTGGCTCCACCCTGACTTCCCATCCCTGGCCAACTTTACCCATTTTGGGGGCAGCAAAAGCCACTTATGGAGATCAATGGCTGACCAAGCACCTTGTACCACTGTGGATGGAGGCTTTGCACCCACCAGCGTAACCCAGGGCTGAAGCAATCCCCTTTGACTCTGATTCCCACACATTATGCTTCCACCAGGTGACCCTAAATGTGTGCCTTCAATTCTAAATTCCATTCCTATGTTAGATTTGTATCAGACCTTTATGTCTTTATGAAGATTTTAAATGAACTTCCTGGTTCATTTTAATGATAAACTGTGGAATATCATTGACATAATTACAGTAATACATGGAGATACATCATTAGCATGCACAATTATCTCATTAACAACTTAAATATGCTTTTATGTTTTAGAAACTCTTCCTGATAACTCAGGTTTAAACATGCTATTTTTAAAAAAGGTAAGCAATTAATCCACATTTTAAAATTATACATAATTCCACATTAAATCAATATGTGAACAATTCTTGTTTTGAATGCCTCATGAGTTAAGATAAATTTTCTTTTGAAACCACATTTTGCAATCCAGTATATTCCTGAAATCCCAACTAACAATAATTAAGGTGGTCTAATCATAATTAAATTATGTTTAGTGTAAACATAAGTGATCTTGGACAACCAGTGTGTGTGATTCAAAACAAGATGTAAACTACTTATTCACCATGCAAAACGCAACAATTCAGTATTCTATATGTAGGTACAAAAATAATGGGTCTAATGCATTGCTGTTCAGATTACAAAGTTTTCCCACATAAAAAGCGCATTCCTGTTCCCAATGGAGTCAATGGGCCAACTCCCACTGACTCCAATGGGAAGAGTTTAGGTCCTAAATGTCCCTGCATACATGTTACTAAATGTTGTATGCTGTATAATTCATAGATATCAGAACAGTCCATGTTCTGAAGAGTTTACAATCTAGACGATAGTCAAGATCACTGAGATCCAGTGGATGGAGTTACCTTAGACACTATCCCACTTGTGGCCTTATATATGTGAGTACTAGTCATATTTGTCACAAACTTCCAAATCTAGCCAGCTTTTCATTAAAAGGAAAAATCCTGAGACAATGATAATAAACAGCATAAAAATTGTAACGAAACTCAGCAATTTAAGATTATTACTGTACTATTTTTTTCTGCTTTACCATTATTTGAACATACAGTATCACGGTAATGCAGTCCCATACTTTTTTCAAGCAGAGTTTTCCTTATGCATTTAATTAATTTGTCCATCAACAATAAAAATCATATCAGTATTCTTACCTAAAACATCTAGTCCAAGGGTTTTTGCTAGATCTCTCACACCGTCAGCTCCAAAAATATGGGTCTCATGTTTACATTTTGGGCACTGGAAAACACTCATATTTTGGACAAGCCCCAAAACCTGTTAAGTTAAAAAAGAATGTTCAAATCTGGAGTCTTAGTATCAATGCTGGTATATTATATCTACCCACATATGGCATCAGAGAATAGATCTCAAACAAGGTATCTTAGAAGTATTAGTTTAAAATGAATAGACTGTTTTGACAGTGTCCCCACAGCCCCTAGATTCCTGGCTCAGCAACAAAGTAATTTTATTATATTTTTATTTCATCTTCATTTTATAAATATTTATATGTCATATACTTCATATTCATTGCAAGACTGCTGCCTTTCAAGTCAAGATTATCAAGCACATTTGTTACAAAACATCTCTTATGCTACCCAATCTACAGTACTTAACTTACAAACACCACTTTATGACATCTCAGTAAACAATTGTTGTATCATATAACTTTGAACTCTGGAGGTTTTATGTGCTGTGTTTTACAGTCTTGTAGTTTAAAGTTTCATTTCATGAACTGTGACATATTATTACAAGAAGTGAGACAAGCTGTGGGAGGTAATATCTTTTATTGGACCAACTTTATACGTTAACTTTATAAAGTTGGTCCAATAAAAGACATTACCGCACCCATCCTGTCTCTCTAATATCATGGGACCAACACGGCTACCACTACACTGCATTACAAGAAGTGTCACAATTGGACCTATTTTTTAAAAAAGACTTTTTTTGGCTATTAGCAGGAAAATATCTTCAAAAAGGAACCCAGATTTGCTATTCTCTCTGAGGAGCAGAGAGACGTTTAAAGATCAAAACAATTGAAATAATTATGCAAGGCAGAAACTGACAAAAACTGTGGGACAAAAATCTAATATACACATTTTTGTTGATGTCCAATTCCCAACGTCTTCCTTGCAAAAATATGAAGAAAGTTTGCCAACCTGGGCACAAAATCTACTCTTCCATATTTTAGAATGATGCTGATGATAACACTAATCACATTGTGTTTATCTGTCAAACAAAGTTCAGCACTAGGGATGACCAGAATTTTGCAAACCTTTTGCAGAATGTTGCAGTGTCAATTATTATATATTAAAATTCTATAAACAGATGATAAATAGATCACCTAGATACTATAGCCAAAATTTCCAAATTTCAGAGTGAAAGTTTCAAGATACAGAGGGCCTTTGAAAATTTCACCTTGAATTCCTAAACTTCGGCACCTGAATAAAGTGGCCTGGTTTTCAGAAGTGCTTATCATCCACAGTTTCCACTGAAGTTAATGGGAGCTGCAGGGGTTCAACGCCACTAAAAAAATCAACAACATTACTTAGGTCGCTATTTACAATAAGCACCCAAGTTTGAAAATACTGGCCAATGTAAAGAATACGGAGAAAGGAATATAAGCAGGTAAATACGTTATTTTTACTTTATAGCACATAACTGTGCTCAATGTGCAATCAAATACAACATAAAAAAAAAATTAAAAGTGAGTCAGCTTTGGTGAACTGGCTTTTCTATACCTGCATTTGGTGTTCTGAATTTTTCACATGGTAGAATAGGTTTAATATTTAGAGCTTTCAGCAGATTTAAATCAGGGCATTTTTACTCTCAGTTCTTTGGCTGGGAAGGATTACAGCTGTTGCAGGGGCAGCACATTCAATTTCTAATGGGAGGCACAGGGAGGGAGGAAGAAAATGTTTTATAGAGCTCTCTGTAGCCAATATAAGTGCTCTGTAGATGGACTCCTAAACGAGTGATATCATAACATGGGCATTTAAATGTGTGTGTAAACTAGAAACTGAAAGATAACGAAATAGAATGATCCTTTGAGATTTGAGAGACATCTCCCAAAGGAGGAGGGAGGGGGGAGAATAAGATGATTTACACAATTAAGTATGTCTATTCTTCACACCATGCAAAAGAAAACTTGCATTTGTCATACAAACGTACTCACCCATTTTCAGGCACCTAGCTTTTTAAATTTTTGTAGTCCTCTTAGAGTACATGAACACTGCACACTGCTTTTAGTGACATTTAGAGTACCTACCTGCATAGCCCTCAAAGGATGGATAATAAATTGCAGTGTAGTGAGTGAGGCATGGCTTAGGCAAACAAAGACATGCCTGAAGGGTGTGGGTATGTATGCGAATACATCCCCAACATGCTCTCTACTCACCCAACCCATGCCTCCCCATCTACACTGATATTTTTAGCAGTATAGTGTCCCACTGCCTCCCCACTGAAGAAGCCTTTCCCTGCTGCAGGAAAAGACTTCAGGGGGGAAAGGCATGGACACCTCCTACTGCTGGAGCCCTTCCCCACAGCGGGGAAAGACTGTGGCAGCAGGGACCCTCCTCTCTCCCAGACCCTTTTCACTGCCAAGTACAGCTGCACACTTGGATGCAGCCTACTTTTCACTGCGGTGAGTAGCTACATGTACACTACACACCATCAGCAGTGGTGTGTAGTGTAGATGTAGCACTGAAGTAAAAAAAAAAAAAAAAAAAAAACGAACACATGGTCACAAAAAAAGTGATGTTGTCTTACAGTGTTTTGTTTAAATGTTTTATAGCTGGTTGTATAACTGTTTCATTAATCCTTTGATGATAGCAACACACCACCAGAAAAAGTAACTGTGCCAGAGCTTTATTAAGACAATGCTACTGTAGCTGTATGCTCCACGCTAAATCATTTGTTAATGTCTCATTCATGATCTTTTTTCTTCAGCTAGTCGTACTGAAAGTAAATGACTCTGACGCGGGTAAATCAGGTGCCAGCTCTTGCCAAGTCTCTAGGCATAAGCTGAGCACTGACAAATTCATAGCTGGAAGCCAGTCCAGCTCACCTACATGTTAATATTGTTCAAGGTAGGTGTTAGACTTGTAAGGATGTGTTTAGACTCTATAAAATGTGTAAGTTGCTGCATGCATTAATCTTATTTGTAGTCTCTCTATTCCATGCTACAAGGAAAAATATAAGTTTGTTTTATAACTGTAAAAATGCCTGCTCTGAACTTGTGAACTCAGATGGAAGAGGGGCTCCCCACACCCATACAGGAGTACTATCAAAATTCAATGGGCAATCACAAAACAAAAGCTTTGTTAATTGCTCCATCCACCCATGGAGAAGTACATGCAGAAGGCCTTGTCTCATTGGTTTGAATGCTGGAAGAGGGAAATAAAAATAGCTAACATGAAGATTTTTCAACTCTTTGCAAGTTTGGACTCTAACAAGGGCTGGAGCTAAGAAACAAAAAGCAGAGATCCCCAGGGTCGACATGGTTAAGCCCTAAAAAGACATTCAGTGGTGACAGATTACTACATCTCTGTCACTTTTTGAATCAGACTGAAACTCATTTGTGTATATATGCTTGCTTGCTTGAACCTGTAAATAACTTTTTCTTCTTTCTTAGTTAATAAACCTTTGGTTAGTTTATTACAGTATTGGCTACAGGCTTTGTCTTTGGTATGAGATCGAAAGTACAAATTGATCTGGGGTAAGTGACTGGTATCTTGAGACTGGGAGCAACCTGATTGTTTTGTGATTTTTGGTGTATGTGACCATTTATCACTAAGCCCAGCTTGCCTGCATGGCAAGATAGGCTGGAGAACCCAAGGGGACTGTCTGTGATTCCATGGTAAGACTATTAAAGTGATCTAGAGGTTCATGTTTGTTTCTGGGTTGGTGAAATCTAACTGTAGAATATAGCACCAGCTAGGGGGGTCTGGCCTGCTTTTGACAGTCTGCCCTGAGATTGGCACTCTCGATCATGCATCACTCCAGATGGCATGACAGACACACGGTCCCTTAATGCCTGCGCCACATGCCCATTTTTACATTCCTTCTGCATTATTCTTGTCTATCATCTACCTAGTAGTATATTTTAATGTATAAATGGCTCCTTCTGAATATCAGCAGAGCTTTGGAACACTGGACTGTTCACTCTCAGTGTGCAATATTATGCAGAGTCCACTAGGCTCATTTTTTTCTCATTTAGGATTCCATTATTTATTTATATAATTATTAACTAAGTTGTTATTTTTATTATTTGGGTTATTGTAACGCCTAGGAGCCCTAATCACAGACCAGGACCCCCTTGTGCTAGGTGCTGAACTAACACAGTTTGCCCCACAAAGCTTACAATGTAAGTATCAGACAAGAGACAAGAGATGGATACAGTCAGTTGGGGAAGTACAAGGAAATAATTAGATAATATTGGTCAGGATGACAGGTTGTTGTCTCAGCACACCAGTGGCCTAACTTGTCATGTTTTTTGTAAGCATCACTGAAAAGGAGCATTTTAAGAGGTTAATTCGTTAGTTTTGTGGATGGTCATGGGAAGCTCTTCCCAAGCATGAGGGGCAGCATGGGAGAAAGCACAAAGATGTTTGTTTGAAAATTTAACAAACAAGTGTGTCAAACACAATTTTCACATGGATATTACTGTGGGTTTACAATTCCTTCTGGTTGAAATTTGTTCTTCAAAGTACTGGTGTAAGAGGAACCAATATAGTAAAATTGGAAATAAAATTATTTAATAAATTTGAACAGCAGCAGCTCAAAATATAGATTTTATGATTTTGTGGGGCTTTTGTGCACTACAATTATAAACTTTAAAGTTTGATGTTTTTCCCCCAGATCAAATTTGTCAGTTCATTAGTTCACATTATGCATTAGTCAAAATGACTATTTTAAAAAGCTATTATAACTTATGTAAACATTTTTATCACTCAGATGTATTTGTTAATATGCATTATTGTTGCATATGTACAGAAAGAAAGATAGTGAGACTTCACTATTATCCTCAAAGTTTTTAAATCCACAGTACAGTTAAAGCGTCTTTAAAAGAAAATGCACCTCAGATTCTTTCTCCAGTACAACAGCCAATTGTATAGACAGCTGTCCTTTGGAACTTGTGAAATCCACATCTCCCACCAATCTGAACATCCTGGAAGGAGGATCTCAGCTTTATTAAAACTAAACGCGTTAGTCCTTTTCCTTTCAGAGATAGTCTTGAAAACATAAACCAACAGAAACTGATCTCTAAAGTTGAAAGT